GTCCGGCTATGAGGCTTAGCATCCGCCGTGGGCTTGGGCATCATTCTGCCTGCTGAGCGTCGCCATGTCGTCAGCGTCGCACCGCCAGTCGTACCAGCCTCAACATGGGCACAGCAACAGCAGCAAAGACATGGGAAGATCGCGGCCTCAGTCTTCAGCGCAGCATCCTGTCGACCCCGACGAAGCCCGAAGCTTTGCGCTGCGCACCGCCTATCTGCACTACCTGTTGCAACCCAAGGCCAAACGAAAGCAATATGTTCCGGCTCCAAAGGTGCCCACTCGAACGCACACCAGCGTGGGACAGCTCGTGCAAGATTTCGTCTCGGGAACCTCCACGAGCATCAAGCTGCCTCACAACTTCGCTGCCGCTCTGCTCGACCGTGTGGGTGGCGTGTTGAGGGGCAGCGAGGCCCTGCCCGGTTACAGCGATGCGGCTGTCAAGAGAAGCTTTGCCGAAGCGTATACGGCCTTCTCCGAGAAGACGTTTCGAAAGACAATTGAGAAGGAAAGGAAGTTTGAGCCCTTGGTCTTGATCTTCTACTCTGCAGCGACCAAGGCCGCCCAGAAGGGAAAAGGACCGGACGATGAATCCGACTCCTGGAAGCTACTCCCAGACCGCCACCTGGCCATGTTCGTGAGGCTTGCCGCAAATGTCATGAAAGACCTGGGCCACGACCGAGATCGACCTGAATTAATGTCTAGACTCAAAGATCTAGAGACCAAGCTTCTTCGCAACGATCAGGACCTGGTCAGCAACAGCACAGCTGGTACGGGCACCACAATCGAAGTGATTGTGCCTCTGAGCTACGAGGTCAAGGATATGCCCATGGTGCAGGTGGTTGCAAGCATTTTTGGGATGGGCCTCTCAGAGGTTCAAAAGGAACTCAACGCAAACCGCCAGGTATGGACAGAAGAGGCCGCTCTCAAAGATCTCAAATCATACCAGACTAGGCTTAATGCCAACCTGCCCGGCACGTTGAGCAGCCACGATTTTGATGTTGAAGATGGCTTTGTCGAGTGGAAAAAATCCGAGGCTACACATCTCTCACAGATGATGATGGATATTTTGACTGCCAAGCCAGAGTTGGCAAAAACCAAAACCGGCCCCATCGACAAATCGTTGCCGAGTCGACCGGGGTCACTTTACGCAGATGACCAGGCATATGCTGATCTGAGCCGTGTAATATCTGACCCAGATTCCTCGTCCTTCGCCTTTGATCCATCCATCAGCCTAAGCTCCTTAGCGATTGGTGAATCAAGCAGTATCAGAACCGTAGATGAAACGATATATACATTTACGCCCCCCAACCCCAGGGCATTTTACAAGTTCGTTCTTCAGCAAGCAATGCTGTTTGATCAGATCCATGCCGACCCCAACATGGACTACCAGCCGCTGTCACACAAATCCATGGACCTGATGAATGAGCTATGTGTACGGTGGCGCATCCCGCAGTTCTCGCGACTTGTCGTTCTCTTGGAAGCAGCCGCCAGTCAGTTCATTGATAAAGAGATAGCCCCCGAAGACCTTGACGCCGTCTTTGACATGATCAAGTCTCCGTCACAGGAGCTCAAGAAGCCGCCCCATATACATCAATACCACGCACCCCTGACCGATTTTGACCCTAGCCGTTGGACGATGCATGATTTTGCCGCTTACCAGCACACTCTTCACATTCTTCACGATGCACTGTTGCAAGAACTTTACGACCTCCTGGAAGGGTGCTACGAGGTTAAACCCCCAAACATTGGACCTGTCATGTACCTTTTAGAGAACCATATTGGTCAAGACTCAACCTTCTCTCCTCGGCCCGAGGTGATGGAAGACTTCAGGAAGCTCTTAGGTGAGCGCCTGGCCCACAAAGCCACGGAAATATATCACGAAAATATGCAGAAGCAGATACCAGAGCAAAAGGAAGAGTGGGACTTTGCTCACGTTGTCAAACTTGGCAAGGCAGTGACCAAGGTGTGCGACCGAATTCGAAAGCGATATAAAAAGACTGCAAGCATCATGGGGGTCGATCCGTTGAGCATTCTGGTCTATGAGGTGTTTCCGAAATTTGAACAAGATGCAAGCGCCATCATCCAAATCATTGTGCAAGGGGCCAGCGAGGGAGGTGAGGAAATCGACATCCAGGACGGTTTTGAGCTCTACAAGGAGCTGAAGGAGATTCGCGGAATTCACGAAGAGTTCCTCCCCAAAGAGCCTTTTGCCTTCAACATTGAAGACTTACTTGTCGACTTCGTGTGGCGCTGGCTACATTCGGCCGAGACTCGGATGACGGATTTTGTAGATCAGGCAATCAAGCAAGATCAGTTCCAAGTCAGGACAGAGAGTCCAGATCAGATCCCCGGAGACGCGCAACGGCATAGTGTGTCCATTATAGACATGTTTATGCTGTTCAACCAGACGGTAGATCAAGTTTTCAAGCTGGAATGGGCTAATGCAGAGCATCATGCCAGGTTTATGACCTCATTAGCAAAGAACTTCTCCACAGGTATTGGTCGGTATTGCGAAACAGTTGACCAACAGTTTGCAAAGGAAATGGATCGGCCCTCTGCCCAGGAGCTCGCCGCACAAACCCAAACTACCCAAGAGAAGTGGATGCAGTATGCCAAAGACGCATGGAACAACAAGGAAAAGGCTGAACCATTTCAGTTCTTCCCAGAGGTAAGCCTCAAAGTTTATAAACTTACTCGTCCGCTATAATTATAGTTCAGGCTAACTTAAACTCCCCCGTAGTCTTTTGTCAAGCTCAACAACATCGAGTATGCCATGCAAGAGCTTGACAAGCTGGAAAAGACAATGAATGTCGAGGCTTGTGCGGCTTTGCTAGAAAAGAAAGATGGACCTAAGAAGAAGACACGAAAGCCAAACAAGTATACGTTCACTATCAAGGTTGTCGAAGCTGAGGACCTCAAAGCTTGCGATCCATCAGGCTACAGTGATCCATACGCAGTCTTTGGTGACGAGTACCAGAAGCGACTTCACAAGACGCGTATCATTCACCGGAATCTGAACCCTCGCTGGGATGAGTCGTTTGATATTACAGTTCAGGGGCCCGTTAACGTCATTGCGACGATATGGGACTATGATACTTTCGGAGATCACGACTACGTCGGACGAACCTCCCTCAAGCTAGACCCCAACCACTTTGGAGACTATCTCCCCCGAGAGTTCTGGCTGGACCTGGACTCACAAGGCCGCCTGTTGATTAGAGTCAGCATGGAGGGAGAGCGTGATGACATTGTGTTCCACTTTGGAAAAGCTTTCCGCCATCTAAAGCGCACGGAAAGAGACATGGTTCGAAAAATTACGGATAAGGTATGTTGTGTTGTATGCGTAATAGTGGATATCAAGATTCGAGCCAGCTAACCCATCTCCAGCTCACCGTTCAAATTAACGAAACCCTGTCGCTGGAGACTCTTAGGAGCCTTCTAGGGTCTGGGGGCGTAGGCGCATCGATTACTAGTCTATGGAAGAAGCGAACGTCCACCAATGCCCCTTCGACAGCGCCTACCCAGGCGCAGATTGAGAGTGCTCTCACTAATCTGTTTTCTTATTTTGATGACAACTTTGCCATTATGAAGATGACCCTGACAGACGCTACAATGATAGCTGTCATGACTCGTCTGTGGAAAGATGTCCTCATGACGATTGAGAATCTTCTCGTCCCACCATTGTCAGAAAAGCCGTCGACCCAAAAGCCCCTCTCGCGAAGAGAGCTCGACATTGTGTATCACTGGCTGGAAATGCTCTTCGTCTTCTTCAATGCCAAGGACGAGCACTCGGGCGAGCAACTCGGAGTTCCCGCCGAAGTACTCAAGTCGCCTAAGTGGCACGAACTGGCCTCGCTGAACTTTTTCTACTTTGAAGATACCAGCAACCTTATTCGGGAATCCGAGCGCATGGCCGCGGCCTCAGCGCAGCGAGCTCAGCAAGCTTTGCAGCAGCAGAACCAGCCGCAAAGCCAATCAGGTAGTAGGCTGGCAGTGCCATCAAGCTTGGGAGCATCTCTGGGCGGGGCCGGCTCGTTTGCAAGTATGGGCACCATCAGGCGTGGTAAGAGTATCATGATGAGCCGCAATCTGGGCACGATGCGCAAGGCCAAGGAGGCGAAGCGACGCGAGATGCAGGCAGATGCCAGTGACGATATGATCTTACGAATCCTGCGTATGCGTCCCGAAGCGGCAAACTATCTCAAGGAGAGACAGCGTCAAAAGGAACGACAGGCCGCGACGGCAGCTGCGGCGCTCATTGTTAGGAACAGCGTGAACCAGGGCTGGAATTCTGGACCGGCCTTTTCTGGTGCGCCCTTTGGGCGAAACAGCCTTTTGCCTAACAGGAGATGAGGTCGTGGTGGACGAAAATACGAAAGAAAAAAAGGAGGGTGAGGGTGATGGAATATTTGCAACGAATTCGAATGAGTTGGCTGGGGCAAGGGAAGCGTAGTTTGCCCAAGGGGTTTTTGTGATGAACGCAGCTCCATCTTTGCTTCTGTACCTTGGCTTTAGTGATTTATTGACTGGCCCGGCGGGAGAGGCCTCATCAGATACCCTTATGAGTGTAGGTATATACCGAGGTCATAGATTGAGACGGGTTGATTTTACGACATGTCGAGCATTTTGAGACGGGGGTGGCATTGCGAGCCTAGCAAGATAGTTAATTTCAGCGTGCTATGAGAGTGGTCGTTCTCCAGTGTGACGTGGATGGCAAGGTCAAGGGTTTAGACGTGATACTAAGCAACTTCATATTTGTCTTGAGCTATATTATTTGTGTGCGATATTTCTCCTTAAAATCTCCCTAAAAGCTTGGTGAACCGTTGAATATTGCCATCTTGTTTTTCTCCAACCGCCCAAAGGCAAACTTGCAAATATATCTGCAGGCAACCTCCCCCTTTTTGTCAAAATCAGAACGCCTCCATCCATAACCATCTAAGCAAGCTCAATACGGATACCAGCAGTAGCTTCTCCGCTAGGAAAAGATCCTCTTCCCCAGAGCATCAATCATCCCCAGAGTCTTCGGTCGAGTCATCGTCTCCTTGATTCACGGTAGAACCACAGCCGGTATAGTCGATACAGAAATTTGTCGACGCCATGACTTGGTCGTTGCAAACAATTTCAAAATCTAGAGTTACTCCGTTTGATGTCATCTTAACATCGTATTCAATGTACCTGATAACCCGACCTTTTGAATTTCTCCGAGTAGGCAGGCTGTAGAAATTAGGAACTCTCTCCCAGCGTACGCTGCAGAGTTGTTTGACTGTCTCATCGCATCTTTTTGACGGAGTACTCGTCGTTGAGTAGATGAAACTGGTCTCAACTATTTCGGTCGGTTGCGTGAGGTTCTGATAGAAACTTTTCGTGATAGGCTCATCTACGGGAATAGTTTCACCCTAAAAAGTGGTTAATTTATGATTGAGCTTGTTTATATAGGTGCAGTGACTCACAACGTGTAAAAACCAAGATGTCTGGTCATTAGCTACGAACTCCTGCTCCATATCACACCAGCGTTTATCCCGTGGATCATGCTGCTCCGCTTCCCATGGTGAATGATAACAAGACGTGCCGTAGTTTATTCTTGATATCCGGGAACTGACTGTGGACTCGGTTGTATCTTCACACTGCTCGAGTCCCTTTATTACGGCCCCGCGACAGACTGCTGTCCAACTATATAGTCATGGAAAAGAATTAGTCAGTAGCATTTCCCAATCTAGATTCTTGGGAGCACTTACGGTTCTGCACCTGAGCCTTGTAGCACTTCGGTCTTCTCTTTTTGGCCCTTCTTATAGTTCAGTCGGTCTTGAAGCCGAGTGTAAAGAAACAGCTGCCTGCCAAATCCACCGACCAGGACGAGGAACTGGATAAAGATCAGCATTGTAGCCGGCAACGAAAGAATACAAATGTCACACCTTGGGTTCCTTTTTGTACTTTATTTTGACAGTTGATGCTTGAATAGCTATCAAGGTCTCTATTTCAGCCACTATTGGCTTGAAGATCTTCTGGACATCTTTGCTGTTCGTCAACAAGTTAGTTGGCATCCACGAATTCCTTCAGTCTCAGCCCTCAACAGCCCGCCTAGCAGTACTTACGCACTGAATTTAAGGTCTGAGAAGTGGAACTGATCATAAGTTCGTTTTCTGTTTGACCCGCTGTTTGGCATCTGAACCACCCAGTGTTGATTAGAGTTGCTAAACTGAGGTTTGATGCCATTCTCCCAATCGTTGTGCATAATGCGACGCAACCCTCCATTTTTTTCAAGAATTTCGAAAGCATTTGAAGAGACTTTGTTGATTTTGCTTCGAAGGGCCGTTAGAAACATCTCATCCAAGAAGGTAGCGCCGCAAAGCTTTCCTATACACCGTGTTAGCTGTTGTAGGCGGTCACGGAATGGGTGGCATTATACCGTCTCCCTTGACGCTTTCTTCAACTCGAATTGGATCAGTCTGGATGACGGTGTAGGTGATGACATCCTAAATTTAATGTAAGCTATGATAAGAGCCCAAGGAATTCCTTTGGAACTTACGACAGTGCCTCCACCAGCGTCGCAAACAACAAAATGGTCCCCAACCTTGGCATAGCCGTTAGTTTGTGAGAGTAAATTTGCGGCATCCGGAATGCTCTCACCTCCATATTCGGCCGGCTATACGTGCTCATGTCGTGTATCGTAGCCAAAGCAGCTGCTTCTGGCTCCGTAAGGAATTTCAGGACTGTATCGCCAGCAATTCGAGGTTCCAGAATGCCGGCCTTTCTTATGGCCTGGGTCATGCGAGGCTGAGCATAGGTTGGCCAGATAGCGGGAATGGTGACAACAACCTTGAACTTGGAAATGTCCACCAACTGCCCACCAACAGCTCTCCGAATGTTCCTGATGCTATGCTTCCATAGCTCCCGTAGATAGTCGCTAATCACATCCTCTACACGCTTGTTTGACTCTCTCAAAGATTTGCGAGCAGCTTGAATCTGTGCCGCGTTGCGAATATCTTTAGGAATGTCGCCCTCGTGTAAGAGACAAAGCTTGAACCACTCGAACTTGAGTGAAGATGCTTTCTCTGGAACAGAGTAACCCCAAGAAATTTCGCCTTTATCGCCGTAATGGATGACGCTCGGGACTTTTTCCTTGTCACTGCAGTGATTCTTGACGGCATCCCAGTTCGTTATCATGTTGATATGTCCGGGTCTGCTTGAAGTGGTCCAGGCAACGCCTGAATAGCTGCACAAAGTCAGTCATTTTCGTGTTCTCTTTGTCAAGACACTATCGGCTTACGTTGTACCAAAGTCGATGCCTATGATAATCGTGGGCTCTCGGCTCTTTCCCTCGTCAGTAGCCGCTTGGGTTTGATAGGGCTGAGGCATGATTGCTGCCTGTGAGCCACGACTCTTGCGTCGCAGAAGTGCTCTCGGTGGATGAGGATGGATGTTTGTGTGTGCTAGTTGTGAGCAGAGTTAGGAGGGAAAATTTACACCTGGCAGATTTCTGGCTTTATATGCCTGCGTAATAGAACCTGAGGCATCAGTGAATCAAACGGAAGAGGTGATAAAATCCGCAACAGAAACCTGTAGCACACTTCCTTCAACACACTTCCCCCAACACAATTCACCGAGTAAGAAGGGTCCGATACAAAGCGCGAAGGCATCATACATAAGATGCCATTTTAGCCGTGGTTACTCGATCAAAACTCTCGTCCGAATACATCACGCCCAGGAGAACCTCAGCCATCTTCCAGCCTCTCCAGCGCACTGATCAGCAATGCCAACGAATATGCCTACAGCCGCCAACGAAAATGGTGAGAACTTCCACCTGACAGATCCATCTTTTGTTTGGACTTGCTTCTCTCTGCTTTGCTTCTTAATGAAAAATGACAAGCTGACATCTGAGAAGAATGGGAAATGGCCGGCCACAATGCTTCACCGACTAAGATACAGGAGCAAAATGCACTTCAAAACTACCACTCCTGCGGCAATGAACGAGGGTTGGTAAACTCAGGACAAGTGGCAATTAACCAGGGTCCGAGTACACGTAGCAGAAAGCGACATCGAGTAAAAGATGAGGAAGAAGACGAGCTTGCGACGCCTACGAAGTACAGCAGAATGCCCACATCTGCCATGTCCAGAGCGGAGAGTTGGGAGGCATTCACTCTGTGTCAGCTAGCCAAGAGTGATCCTAAATCTGTATGTGATTTGCTCGATGGCAACAGGGCTGAAATCGAGAGACAACGCATCAAAATCAAGTCGCTTGAAGCAGAAATCAAGCAAGAAAAGAAATCTCATGAAGAGAATCGTCGCATACTCGATAACCAGATCAAGGCACTCAATCGCGATATGGAACAGCTTCTCCTCCAGAATATGGATGATCTTAGCACAAAGAAGGCATCGGATGACACCATCAAGAGCATGTGGGGGCGGTTATCATACAAGATCAAGAATACCGTTAGTAACTATTTTACCGAGTGGCCTCAAGATGAGAAGATCTCCATCAATGGCATCGAGTACGATAGATCTACACAGTCCTCATCTGATGATCGAATTCTTGCTGTGCGAGACAGCCTCAAACGGCGTCAGCTATGGGGTATTCTACTCTGCAACATCTTCGCGGCCCTTAATCGTTACCACCTTGGACATATTGGTGGATCAATAGCTCGCCTTCTTGCGCATCTAGGTATGCCTAAAGAACCTACTTTCACTTTCACTTCTTGCTTTCTATCTTGAGAAGAACAAACCGCTGACGCCTCTTCTGTAACAGATGTCAACAAACTCCCCAGTCCCCAGTATCTCCAAATGATTAGCAAAATAAAGTCAGCTCTTGACCCGGACCTTGAACAGGAGACAGATACTAAAAGCCATACCAAAAGGGTAGAGATGATTCAGAACACAGTTGTTCACTTCAAAGATATCATAGCAGACAAAAAACGGCTCGAATTTGAGGACGATTTGAAGATGATATTCTCGGATGCGTGGGATATCTACACCGCCATGATGATGTCCAAAGCCATCTTTATCATTCAGTGGCCTCAGGGTGATAATGGTGTAGTCAACGATTACCCTTATGATCCAAAGACCATGGAGCTTTCCGGCATGATTGATCTCAGTGATGCACCAGAACGCGTTATCGGAGTGGTCGAGTCGCCGGTTGTGTGGAAGATTGGAAATGGAGACGGCGAAAACTTCGACTCTACCACGGTCCTATGCCAACATTCTGTGTTTCAATGGGGTGGTAGGAGTGAGCCTAGTACAGATACTTTGGGAGGAACATCATCGTAAGGACATAGGCTTGAGGCGACGTTGGGACACATGATTAACGAGCTTGGAACCAGAGTGACTCTTTCTTTTACCGCTGCTCGGCAGAGCGTCTTTCGTTGGTGGAATGGCCAATAATGGCACAAAGATAGATATCTAAAACTATAGGACGTCAGGAAGAGTATTTGGTAAACATTGTTTGGCTTTTAGATTATTACTATCGGCATACAGATCTAGGTATCAAGTTCTTATGAATGAGTTCGCGATTTCTCAGTCTATCAGCTACTGGCCAAGTCCGGATACTAAACGATTCAACTCGGAGCTCATCTTACTCGTGATGCCCATTTATGCCAAAAGAGTTTTATTTCTGTACCATTGCATCGTCTTTATCTTGTCCATATACTAGCTAGATTTTACCGTAGATGCTGCTCAATATGTAACATTATGATGTAGTTATATATGGCCACAATCAGGCCATTAGCTTGTTCATATAAAACCCCTCTCACCAATTTTTGTTTAGATGAACGATCCCTTCTAGCAATTTCGTAACCGAGAACTTGGCTCTATTCAGTTCACATGTTTGGGATTCTAGATGCGATGTGGTCGTCCCAGCTTAGGTTTCCCCAGTTCGGTGCTTCAGATCTTTCAGAATCTGGGACATAGGTGCCACTGTCATCATCATCATCACAACTGTCGTCCACGTTAAGGTGGTCAACAGATTGACGAGCCGCCACGCCGCTCTCACGATAGTCAACCGCAACATTCTTTGACGCCACGATTTTCCCTTCGTACGAAATCTCGAAATCTAGGGATACGCCATTCGATGTCATCTTGATGATGTAGTCGAGCCGTTTAACCAGCTGGCCTTTGGAATTTTTCCACGAAGGTAGATCGTCATACTTGGGAATACTCGACCATCGGATATGGCAAAGTTCCTTGACCGTGTCGTCACACCTTTGAGACGGGTTGAGGGCGTTAGAGTAAATAAGACACGTGGAAATGCTGTCCACAGGCTCATTAAAATCCTGATGGAACTGTTCTTCAACAGCTTTGCCCATTTTAATAGTATCGCCCTTGATAAACATTAGCATTTCCCATTATCAGCGCACATGTAGTGACTCACGATACGTAGAAACCAGGAAGCTTGATCGGCGGCAATATGGACTTGGGTGATGGGACACCATTCTTTGTCTCGTACATCATGCTCTTTCTCGCGCCATGGTGTCATATTGTATATTGCGCCGTAACTCGCCCTCGCAATTCTCGAGCAGATTGCCGATTCTGCGGTGTTGCTGGACTCGAGGCCACGAAGGGCTGCACCTCGGCAGACCGCTGTCCAGCTATATCATCAACGAGAAGAAGTAAATCAGCTTTGATCAACGTTATCTGTAGAAATAAGTACTTACGGTCGTGCTCCAGAGCTTTGAAGAATCTCAACTTTGTCTTTTAAGCCTCGCTTCAGGCAGCTAAAAAGGTGCTGGCATCGACCAAAGCCACCGACCAGAATCACAAACTAACAGCTCAGATTAAAGTTTCATAAATGATGATAGCTCAGTAAATTCCATACCTTAGGCAGCTTCTTGTATCGTCTCTTGACTTCTTGGATTTGCGCTGTCACGAGCTCCACGATTTGAGCCATTATGGGCCTGAATACATCAACAATCTCCTGGCTGTTTGCATAGTTAGCAACCTCTTTTTTCGTCTGGACTGCCATTCAATTTATCGTCAACTTACTTGGTGATACTAATCTCTGGAGAACTGAACTCGTCGTGATCTCTCTTCCGCGACGAGACGGGGATCTGAATAGTCCAATCGCGACCATCGTTACGGAACTGAGGCTTTATGCCGTTTTCCCACTCGGCATTCATGAGGCGCGCTACACCATTTTCCCCAAGTCTTTCCCAAGAAGACAGAGGAATTTTGCTTTTGAGGAGAAGTCGGAAGCGCTCGTCCACAAAGGTAGCACCGCATAGCTTTCCTGTATACAGCGTTAGTTGTATAGGCAAAGAAGAGAATGGACGTCTTACCGTCTCCTCTAACGCTTTCTTTGACCTTCATTGGATCTTTGGTCGTGACGGTATATGTAATGATGTCCTGTATATAGTATAAGCCATCTCGTAAATCGAAGGTCCATTTGCGAATCACTTACCACGGTGCCTCCGCCAGCATCGCAAACAACAAAGTGGTCACCGGTCTGGGGATGAGAGTTCGTCAGCAACGCAAAGACAAGCTCAACATGATCGGACTCTCTTACTTTGATATCTGCCCTATCGGACATGTCTTGCAAGCTAGCCAGAGCTGCAGCCTCGGGCTCCGGGATGAACTGCAGAGTCGTGTCCGCAGTGCTTCGAAAGTTCATAATCCCAGCCTTTTCAATGGCTTCCTTCATCCTGAATTGGGCATAAGGCGGCCAAATGGCTGGGAGCGTAACGATGACCTTGAACGAAGAAAGATTCAGCATGGAAGACCCCTCGGCTCGCTCGATGCAGCCAAGGCTATGGTTCCATAACTCTCGCAAATAATCACTGATGACATCCAAGGCATGAATGCCCAGCTTTTCCAACGAAGCTCTCGCGGTTTGGAGATTGTTCGAATTTCGTAAGTACTCTGGTATATCTTCTCTTTCAAGAAGGCACAGTTTGAACCATCTCAGGGAAGACTCGCCGAGAGGCGCCGCATAGCCCCAGGCAACTACTTCATTCTTGTTCCTATAGGAGATGGAAGTTGGGACCTTTTCCTTGTCGCTGTTGAAGTTGAGAGAAGTCTTCCAGCTTGTTATTATGTTGATTTGCTCTGGTCGAGTCGATCTAGCCCATGCCACACCCGAAAAGCTACGCATAGTCAGCAACCAGAGTCATCATGATGATCCGATCAACTTACGTGGTTCCAAAGTCTATGCCTATAATGACCGAAGGATCAGTCTCTGGAAGGTGCCGTGTACCTCTTCCAGCACCTCTGCGGGTGCGCGTAGGCCGAGGCATGGTGGAAGCTCATCAACTCGAGTACCGTCGTCTAGGGAGGAGATGCACTCCGCCTCTAAGAGATGATAGATGCGCAAGATATCCACAGGTCGGAAGTGTGAGGGATGATCGTAGCTCCTCACCAACTAAATGGAATAAATGTGAAGTTCAAGTAAAGAGGAAGTGAATTGAGGTGAGGTTTTAGAGTGAGGGAGTTGATATACACTGACAGTGCCAGCTGGCAGATATTGGGCAAAGCGAAAGCGGTGCACACATGATTCTGCACAGCACAATACACTTGTCTTATTTCTTTCTCTCTCCACGCCTTTCGATCTTCATTCTTTTTTCTTCTTCTTCTCTTCTTCATTCTCGTGAGATTTTGTTTTCAACGCAGTTCCAGGTCAACTCTCCTCTGCCCTACTGATAGTGCAATGCCGCCAAACAGCATCATCCAAATTACTGACGACGACGAAGGTAATAATGTATCCCCAGCTCCATTATTATTCCTTGATGATTTGAATGTATCTTTAAAAAGGCTCAGATTCCAGCTAATCGTTTGGCAGATAATCAGGAATATTCGCAAATGAAGAAAGCAGCCCAACCGGCCAAGACTCCATCTCGTCGACGCGGTGGAGACAAACGGCCCAACTATAAGGAATGCGGTAATGGCGACTCTGGAAGCGCATCTGATACCGAGGAAGCAAATGATGAATACATGGGCTTCAAAGGAGATATTCCAGCAAAGAAGCCCAGTGCCGCAAAAAAGGTGGCCTCCCGGGCGCAGCGTCCACAAGATGCCAAGCAAGAGCCAATGAGCTCAGAACAACAGACCCCAGATCGCCGCGTGATTATCAAACCCGTAAAAAGAAGTCATGGCGATGATGAAAGCGAGCCTGTGAAGCCCGCAAAGCGTGGCCGGAAGCCCACAGCCAGTACGGAGATTAAGAGATTTGAGAAGGACGCCCTCGCATTAGCTGAGAGATTTGGCTCCAAGATGATTGAGTACGAAACTACCAGATCCGAGAACCAAAATCTTCAAGCTCAAATCAAAACTCTCAAATCGGAGCTTGAACAAGCGCAACAAGCTCACAAGCAAAGTGAAGCATCGTTCAACCAAAAGATAGATCAGCTTAAAAACGATTCACAAAAATGGCGATGTGACCTTGCCTCTGCTCTTGAAGCAGCGAAGAAGAACTCTGGCAAATACGTCAAAGTTTCTGACTCCGAAGTTGCGCAGAACTGGATGACATTATCTTACAATATCCGAGGCCTAGTCTCTCAGTGCCTCACTCAGATCCCAGCTGATCAAGATACGATTCTCGAGTCATTGGTGATGGAGCACCGGCTCTTATCCATAGACGATATGTCGACTTTACGCAGCTGTATTCTTCGACGAGCGGTATGGAAGTTCGTGATACTTCCGGTATTTTCAGGGGAACACTCTATCTGGCAGGGAAAGATTGGTAACACTTTGACACAGAGTCTGCTTATAAAGAGTAAATATTTACCCTGTCATATTTCCCACTGTTTTGTCAAAAATCTAATTATTAACATCATTTGTTTCGTTACAGACTATCATCACAGAAACGACCCCAAGTACCTCCAAATTATCAGCCAGATTAAGTCTAGAGTAGTCGCAGACCTTAGTGACGAAGGTCATCTCAACAAAGAAGCCATGGAGGCTCTCATTAACAAAGCCAAGAAGCGACTTGGTCCTTTCATACCAAAGCCAAAGGTGAATCAATTCAGGAATGAAATAAGAAGATTGATTACGGATACGGCAGACTTGCATCTCATGAGAATGAAGTCAAAGGCTATCTTCTTACTATATTGGTGTGGAGATGATGATGGCAAGAGACTTCACCCTTATGACCAGAATCAAATGAAATCTATTCAGTACGACAAAGACACCGATATATCCAATTTCTCTGTTAAGTTTGTCGAAGCCCCTGCCCTAATGAAAATTGGGACTGCAGACGGGGAGAAGTTCGATACCAGCATGATCCTTTGTAAATCCGAGGTGGCTCTTACAGAGGATGACAATGAAGATAGTGAAGATGGCGACGATTTTGAAGAAGATGACGATGAGAGTAGTGAAGATAGCGACGAAGATGACGATGAAGATGAGAGAGGTGGCCAATGAGTCTTGGGGGTTCAACCGCAAGAGGGTAGTTGTAAATTGAAAAGGGAATCTACAGCTTCACCTTCGAGATCAAAAGGAAAATAAACGGGAACAGAATTGAGAGCTTGTTGCTCTAAAGGTGCAGATGGTCGGTATCCAAAGTTATGAGAAAATGGACTTGAGGGGTGGCGGCGAGGAATACGAAATAAAAGATTGACCTTCTTATTACCATTAAAACAAAAGGGAGTAGCTCTCCAGCATTCGGTATCCAAGGCATACATCATTCACGTGCATGCATACCGATGAGATAGAGACAGTAGCAAACACTAATACGCTAATATGGCACAGCAAAGGAAATAGCTATGAGAATCTACATAAACTTCCATCCTCAGAATGTATCAATCGTGGTCCTCCTCTGTTATACCGGGACAACCGTCCATTTCCGCGTCCGGATATGCCATTTTGCACCAGAAGCAATAGCGATGTGTCTCTCGCAAGTACATGATTAAACGACTCAGTCTAGTACCGGGCTCAAGTGCATTGAACTCGTCCAGTTCTTCATCTTCCTCGTCCAAGTCATCCGCAGTTGAGTATGTAACCTGTTTCTTGCCCAGAGCTTTCTTGTCATCTTCATCCTCCTCGTCATTCTCATACGTCGGTAACCGCGAAAGAGACTGCTCCAAGTCGTACCTCATTCGTCGATCACGCTCCTTTTCTTCGCGATGCCGAATCAAGCCGCGATAAAGCACCGGGATAGATTTGAGCGGTCGCGATGATAGTGGTTTAGGCTTTGGAGTTGAAGCTTCTTCCGATGACGAGTGTTCATTCGTATCTGAGCCGGCCTTCTCGTCATCCAGTCTCTCCGCCGTTCGTTGTGCAGCGTGCAGCTGTGATTCCAGCCTAGCATCTTCTCTTTCCAATCGCATCCTCTCACGGTACTCTAAGGGGTCGATTTTGACAGTCTTGATTTCCCTCTCTTCAAAGGCTTCTTGAAGCTTCCTCTTCTTCTCACTTTCCATGCCAATGCCGCCGCGATCCTCCTTCATGCTGATCTTGATGGGCTCTGATTTACCAGAGGATTGGCCATCTTCTGCCTTTTTGCCCAGGCTACCACCCTTGAAGCCCATTTTAGCCATCATGGCAAGGCCTTTGCTCTTCTTTGAACGGGGATCCTCGAGCATGGAGGTTGAGAGTGCCTTTTCTCTCGCGGCAACTTCTTCCTGAGCGATCTGTGCTTTGGATTTCATGACACCACGAGCGCGTGATTCTTTTTTCAGCCGTTGAGCTCGCTGAACAGATGATTCTGTGGCGGGAGTAGGGTCTTGGAACGTCATGTTCATGTAATCGTCTTCATCGTCTTCACCGGACATTTTGGCTGTATATTGTGGATGCTGTTCTGTTGGAGTCAATGTTTCTTTCCGCTCGTTCGATGGCTTGATAGAATCTATCTAACTTGAAAGATTGAGAAGCGATGGAGATGGCAATTATGTAGCAGAGTATTGGTGATGGCAAGTTCTACGAAATATCAGACTGTCAATCATGAAGCAAGAACGAAGCACGATTAGCATAAGAGGTTGAAATCTGGGGTGTGGCGTAGCAAGTGTGGCGCGAAAACAGCTGGTTTACACCAATGGCAGTGTACATTCTAAACTCAGGGTTCGTCTTCTCAGAAAGGCAAGCGGTCTGTCACATTGTAAACATGCTCAAAGCATCTCACAAGTAACAGTACCTTGGTACTCGGCGCCCTGTACGAGAACACGGCTCTGTACAATAATTATATGCCGTAATCCGTACTAACTTTGTATTAGGATCTGCAAACATAAGGCGCTGTATTTGAAAGTAGCTCTCGCTCCTTGGCACTTTTCGGCCCAACTACTAGGTACCTCGATTAGCACCTTTTGACAGCTGGAGAACTGCTAAAAAGGCCCCTCAAGGATTGCTGCGCCACCTTTTCTTCGTATGGATGTTTCAGGGACCGCAACGTTTCAGGGCCAAAGTCCAGCTCGTGTTAATCCAAAATCCAAAGTCACCCGGTACTCCGTACGAAGTCCGCGACAAGTCTCACTGTGGGCGGCTAATACTTGTACAGTAAGAGACATTTGATTGACTTTTCCTTGATTACGGAACCCCCCCAGCCACCCGAATTATGGCGGTCAGGGCGCCTTTTTCTCTGCTCCCCACCTTTGCATTGCTTTTTGCTGACTAGAGGCAAATCTCATCTCGTCGAAGCTTCGCTCAGCTGCACCTCATTGCTGCATCCTGCATCCCGCCTCGCTGCGCGCATATCGCAAAGGAGAAGCTTCCCAGGACGAGACAAGGTACCAAGTACGGAGTCACCTAGACAAGGGAGGGGGGGAAATTACCGGCATTACAGCAGTGCATCAGGTACGAGTAACCAGCTTCGTAGGTATAGTATAGTAGTCAGCAGCTTTTGCTTTTTCTTACTCCTTGTAGTAAAGGCCCTCTTTCTTCGCTCCAGCCTGCTTTTTCATTACTATACTTTTCATCTACTTTGCTTTTTTTGTACTGCTGGTTTTCTGTTCAGCGTGCATACGGAGCTTTAATTGCATCCGTTCTTTTAAGCTGCGCTCTACTGGCCTGTACTACACGTACTACCTTGGTAGTTAGAGGTACCCCAGCCAGTGCCGCGTCTTCGAGGGAACACAGCGTCTCTCAATCTAAAACAACAACCATCTCGTTTCTCAAAACACCAAATGCGCCTGGATCTCAGCTGAGCCTCGCCCGCCCGCCTGAGAAAAAAAAAACAGCGTCAAAGTCAGTTTTTATGCTTCGCGTCATTTAGCACAAAACAAGGGACCCGAAACCAAACCTTCCTGATCGACAATCATGGGCTCCTCAAGCCTGCTCGACCAGTACGGCGACGTCGTCAGCCAGAGTGGCCGCTCGTCTCGTCACCACGCGAAGAGCAGCCGCCACAAGAAGCGCCGCTCGCACTCGCACTCGCCGTCGCGATCCCGGTCCAGATCCCGGGACCGATCTCGAGATCGCAATCGGGACAGGTCGCGCTCCCGGAACCGAGATCGCGGCATCTTTGGCGGCGAGAGCGGCCACCGCAGGCACAGCAGCTCCAAGGGCTCCTTCTTTGGCCTGGGCGGCAACAACAGCCGCTCCAGCCTGTTTGGAAGCAGTACGTGCTACTACCATTACCTCTAACATTGGCGAACAACACGGATGCTAACTCGATCAACTTGACAAGGCCGTCCCTCATACTACAAACGCTCTCCTCGCGAGGGCTTCGTCCAGCGCTGCATCAAGCAACTGAAGCGACTCCTCCGCGATCTGCAGCACTACGCCAAGCGCCACCCGTGGAAGGTCTTCTTCCTCGTCATCCTGCCCCTCGTCACCGGAGGCGCTCTGACGGCCCTGCTGGCGCGCTTTGGCCTCCGCATCCCGCCCTCGCTCGAGCGCATGCTGGGCGTGGCCAAGCGCGCCGCCACAGGCGACCCCTTCAGTGCCGTCGGCGACGCTGTGCGCATGGCCGGCGAGTACGGCAACGGCAACCCCAACGCCAGCGGCAACGCCATTGCCAACGCTGCCGGTCACTCGTATGCCAATGCCGCTGGCCACTCATACGCCAATGCTGCCGGCAACTCGTATGCCCGCGGCTCTCGTGTCGAGCGCGGCCGCAGCGGCGACTTACAGTGGGAGCGCAAGGCCAGCTACTACGATGACGGCGGCCAGGAGGGCGGCATGATGGACGGCTTTCGCAAGGGCGTGTCCAAGTTCTTTTCATAGCACTAGAGGCCACGATTGTGTGACGATGTGACGAGACGGGGGACGGCGTTGGGGAGGGTTGATGTTTGTTTGTCTTTGGCATACGACTGGATACGACTTTTCTTCTTCTTTTCTTTTTGACCTCTTTTTTTTTATCATTCTATCTCTCACCATTTTATGACGTGTTACGGCTTATGACTCTTTTTACATCAAAGACAGAGCAAACTGTTTGCAACATTATATCCTACTTGGTCGGTACTTGGGCATTTCACCTCGGTATCTGCAATTAAATACAATTTTTACCAACACTGTACATGCGATTTACCGTGAAATCAGTGAGACTCAATTATCAATCGCAAAGAAACCATCACAAGTACTCCGTAAATCCTGCAATTTGTAAATAATTTTCTTTTCAACTTCGCTCAGTTCAGCACTCAACTCCACTAGCTAAATCTGCTATGGATATGTCTTTCAAATAAAAAAGCAACTCTATCAGCAGCCAAATCGGCAACTCATTCGTCAAAAAGCAAATGGCCCTCCCATTTGACCTCCAACGTTTGCATACCACCCCAGTGATCTCCAGATTGAAATTGCCCGAGGTCCAGAGTACCACGAATAATAATAAAAAAACCAATTTCGACATGATTGCTTTCGTCGAAAATCCCTTCTCCATAATCCCCTTCCAACTTCCCCTCCTATCCGCCAACCATCCAAAACAAAGGCCAAAAGGGAAAGAAAAAAAAGAATAGATTGTTTTAAAAAAAAAAATCAAAAGAGCACAAAAAATGTACTCATCGTGCAAAAATAGCAATGTTCATGCTTATCGTCAAACGCCAGTTCCCTGTTCGCACCCGCTATGTGTGCGGTGACGACTCTCTTGTAGAGCTCACTGTGAGAAATCGCAAACATGAGACAACATCTTCTTCTCAAGTCTCTGCTTCAAAAAGGAAAAATCTCGACTCCTTTCACAAACTGGCTTCGGCATATCTTCAATCAATAAATGACTCGCGAGCACACGGCGATGAAAAAAGGCTTCAGATAGATCCAGTGTCCATAAGGTGTAGGCGAAAAAAGGATTTTCTTGGTTTGAAAGCATGCGCTACATAGAATACATATAAGTTCGTCAAAGCAGAGTTTCAGTCGGCGAAACTCTGCTTCGTAAATTCTTCGTGCCTCTCTCCTCTTCGCTGAAAAGTTCAAGCGGTTTTATCATCTTTGATCGGTTTATCTTCTTTGCTCGGTTTCCAAAACTGCATCATCCGTCCTAGCCGCTTGGTCTTGCTCTTTGATTTCTTCGATTCCGATTCATTGTCTAGAGTGACTTCCATGGAGAGCTTGCTTCTCTCGCCATGAGAGCTGCTAATGAGCCGGCTGAGGCTTGCCAAGCTGGATCGTCTGCGTCCAAAGGGGGCGGACATGGACACGGGACGTTGATCACGGGAGAGAGGTTGACGGGGTCGTGGGACAGGAATGAAAGTGCTGTCACGGGTCATGGCGGAGTTGCTGGATGCAAGGGACGGGATGTCGTAATCCATTGAGATCCTGACTTCGGGCCCCGGCTCCCCCATGAGGAGAGAGTGGAAGCTGTCGTCGGTGACGGATGAAGGTGCGGTGGAAATGCGCTGGGCGTCAATGGACATTGGCGACCGTGGAGAGGGATGGGAGGAAGAAGCATAGCTAGCCGAATAGGGGCTGAGAGGTGTGGTACTGGCACTGGGAAGAGCGAGAGGCTCATCCACTAATAACTCGGCAGTGGCAGGGCGCTGTCTCGGAGATGGGGCTGAGGGTGCTCCTGAGTCGACGGATTCCCTGCGGCCTTGGAAAGTTGGGGCCCGGAAAATGGGCAGCGTAAACTCCTCCATGATCGTATCATCTTGGAATGGGATATTGCAGACCGCGTGCGAGCTGAAAGCTTCTCTCTCAACCAGCCCTGCGCTTCCGCGACGCATCTTGCCCAACGCTTTGTCGCTTGGACCGACAAAGGACTCCTTCAGCATAGGCATGACTGCAGGGGGTGTGGTCTCGCCATCAGATTCCTCGCTGGTTTCTTCGCTAGTCTCCAGCCTAGTTCTGGCGTTGCCTTTTCCGTCGTCATCCTCTTCATCCTCTTCAAACACATCAGCCATGGTGGAGCTGCTGCCGAATCGGTGAATCGAGGAGCGGAAATCAAAAGGAGGAAGATCAGGAGCCGACTCGGCGCGTCGGTGATAATGCATGCCAGGGCCGCTAAAGCCCTTTAAGCCTTGAGCACTATGAAGGCGCCTTCTGCTGCCCGGAGTGCCTGCAGCACGTTGAGCAGCCTCCCACTCAGGGTTGTAAGACAGAGGGGTATTGAAGGGACCAAGAGCAGCGTCAAGATCAATCATGGGATAAGACACATCCTCTGACAAGCTTTTTGTCGGCTCAGGCAAAGGTGGCGATTCGGTGATGCTTATGGTGGGTGGTTCGACTGACGGTTCTTGAATGACGCTTTCGGGTTCATCCTCTTCCTCATCTTCCGGATGGAAGACAGAAGCTGGAGGGGTTGGTGGTCGAACTGCGCTTGATTTGCCACGCTTCTTGTGGCTCTTCAGAGGCAACCAGCCTTTGGCCTTCTTGTCATCCTTCTTCTCCTCTTTGGTCTCCTCTTTCTTCT